TGGTACTCATTTGCACATATGGTGTTTGTACATATGGTACTCGTTTGTACATATGGTGTTTGTACATGTGGTACTCATTTGCACATATGGTGTTTGTACATGTGGTACCCATTTGCACATATGGTGTTTGTACATGTGGTACCCATTTGCACATATGGTAGTTATTTGTTTCTGAAGTGCTGGAGATTTAAGGCAGGGCCTTGTGTGTGCTGAGCAGCTCTATACCATTAGTGCCGTGTTCTTGGCCCTTCCCGTGCTCACCTGCAGGGAGTCATGAGAAATGTAGCGCCGAGGGTTGTCACCCATTTGCTTAAATGTCCTGTTTCACAATCCACGTTATAATGATTAATTCTCTGTGCCAACTTAGGTGCCCAGGTATTCGGGTGTGACCGTGAATGGATTTCTTTGAGATTAACTCTGCAGTGGTAGAGTGAAGCAAACTGCCCTCAATAATGAGAATAGGTGTGATCAAATTAATTGAAGGAACTAACAGAACAAAGAGGCTGAGTCAGAGGGCATTCCCTTTGCCTGACTACCATTGACGGGGCATTGTTTTATCCAATCAAAGTAAATACTGGCTGTCTCCAGGTTGGTAGGTGTAGATATTGTTACTTGTCAGCCTTCAAAATTACTCCAACCAAATATTTAATAAAGCATTGATAGGATAGATGAACGGTTTCTCTGTAGTTACTGACTCACACACGGGTACAGTGTGTTCAGAGTTCCCAAGCCATGTCCCCATAGGGTCAGTGGTATCACGTAGAATGTGGTGCTCACACAGAGAGCCTTTCCTGTAGCCTCACTCATTCCCAGGGTTCATCGTGTCAGCCTTTGCTCTCCTTCCCACTTCAGAGAGACGTGGAATACAGTTGGATTATTTTATCTCATTGTGCATTCCCTTGTATGTTGTCTCAAACTTGCAAATCATTGTGGGGAGAAGGTTCTGGGGGTGATGGTTTAATCATTAAAGAGCTTGTTACAGTCTTAAGTTTGATGCCCAGCGTTTGCATACAAGCCACATGCTGCAGAACATGCATTAGCCATTCAACTTAGCTGAATTACTGAGCTCCAGGTTGAGAAAGAGACTCTGAAAAATAATGTTTAAATGAATTCATTGGGGATTTCATACATGTCTGAAATGTATTTTGATCTCATTTACCCTTGACTCCCCCACTGCACATTGTCTCTTTATCTCTCTCCCCTTCTCTCATCATGAAGTGTAATTTGTGCTTCCCATATACACAAAGCTGTTAGGCCCTCCACTGGAACATGGCTGACCAATCGGGGCACATCCTTAAAGAAAACCGACTCTCTCCACCTCAAACTTTTAAATCACTGAAAGGAGGGGCTTCTGGGGAATGGCTCAGTCAGTATAGTACTTTTGCACAGGCCTGAGGGCTTGAGTTTGAGCAATTGTCAATAGTCAATCAATAGTCAATAGTTCCTCGTGACACACTCTCATCCACGCTTGAATGCTCTCTGGAAGGTTTTATGCAGCTAACCACAGCCTCTGTAGTCTACACGTGTAGTGGTCCTGTCATGTCAGAGGACACCATTTTCTTCTACTCCTCCCTACCACTGGCTCTTAGAGTCTTTCTTTCTCCTCTTTTGCAATGCTCTCTGAGACCTGGAGGGAGAGGGCATGGTGACATGTGTGCCCCGTTTATGGCCAAGCACTCCATGGGCAAGTTGTGAGTTTTGTTGGATATTCTTCAAGTTCAGGAACTTTCCCTCTACTCCGTATATAGTGAAACTTTTTATTTGCTTTAATTTGCAAGGGTGTTGGGTTGTGTGGTCTGTACCTTTCCTGCATTGCTGATATGGCTTCTTTTTTTTTGGCATTTTAAGATACTCTATTTAGTGATTGATTTTGAATGTTGGACTCGTCTTACATATAGGAATGGACCCTGGTTACTCATGGTGTAGAATTTTTTGTATATGCCACAGCTCTCTAGTTAGTCCCGTTGTGTTGACCCCTTTTGTGTAATGTTTATAAGAGGTATTAGTTATTTATGGTTTTCCTTCTTTCAAGTAACTCTATCTATTGCATTGTTACAACAATATTGGCCCAAACAGGGTGAGTCATAAACCACTCCTTGCGTGTCTGTTTCCTAGAGGTCGTTGCTGGTGCCGTTTCATCTGTTCATGTTGGCATAGTTAGGCAACGAACACATGTCCTAGGTTTGGCTGCTCATTGTTGGTGCATGGCTACCCTGACCATTTTTCCGTGTCTTACTATTTTGCAGCTTTTGCGCACAAGGCAGGGGAAGGGGAGGCGGCAAGCGGTGTACTTACAGATGTTGATGGGTCCAACGCCTTCACCATTCAGCCTAGAATAGGAACAGAGCAGATGAGAAGGTGAGACCTAGGGAGTCATGACCTCGGTCCCCCTGAACCCTCAGTGTGGTGACAAGTCACAGAGAATCCCTGGTAGAGTGGTCCCTGAAGGGAGCCATTGTGACCACAGCCAGTGCTCCCTCATGCTGTGCTCATGCCTGGCATCATGGAGGTGTCCTCAGGCTGGAGGAGGGGGAGCACTCACCTGCACTCCTCTCCTTCCAGCAGCTTCCTGTAGGTGGCGATCTCCACATCAAGGGCCAGCTTGACACTCATGAGCTCCTGGTACTCCTTCAGCAGCCTGGCCATGTCCTGCTTGGCCTTCTGCAGGGCGTCCTCCAGCCCTTCCAACTTGTCCCTGGCATCCTTGAGGGCCATCTCCCCACACTGCTCAGCTTCAGCAATGGCAGATTGTAGGTTGGCACACTGGGCAGAGATAGAAAGAAAAACAAACTTGCAGTGTGGTTCTCTCAGGAGGGTGAACGGAAGATCTTGCACCTAGTGAGCAAGAGTCTAGAGAACAGAAAATAATGGACAACAACCTCTGACTTTTCTGTCTTTCATACCAACTTTTGGCGTGGTCGATCTTAGATTTCAGCCTTGGAATCATGCGATTGAGATCAGCGATCTCCTGCTTGGTGTTGTGCAGGTCAGCCTCTTGTCTGTCTGCTGTGACCTGCAGCTCCTTGTACTGAGGGTCAACTGAAGAGAGAACATTTATATTAAGATTTACATTCAAAGGCAAATTCACTTTTAACTGGCCTGCATTATAATTGCTGTAATAGCGTTTCCTCAGGAGAAGGTATAGGGCTACATAGATCTCTTGGGACTCTAAATGTTCTGTGTAATCTCATGAGGACCTGTATTTCCAGTACGACAACTTTCCTTTTACCTCTGGGTTCCTTTGATCCTCAGACTACAACTTCATTCTTTAATGCAAATCAAGGTCCATTTGCTCTTACAGCAACCCAGTTCCTTCTTAGTAGATCTCTAACCTCCAATGATGTCTGAGACTTACAAAACTCATTGTGGGTCCCAGTTTTTCTTCTTTAGGCTCCAACTAAATATTCACTTTCGTCTGGTACCAAGACTCAGCTTCAGCACAGCTCCTCTGAACAATCTCCTCATATTGGGCCTTGACCTCAGCAATGATAATGTCCAGATCCAGGCTGCGGTTGTTGTCCATGGAGAGGACCACAGATGTGTCTGAGATGTGAGTTTGCATCTGAGACAGTTCCTACAGAACAGAGAGGAAACACAGCTTTGGATGTAAGGATTACAGATGTTACCAATGCCACACTCTCACTGTGCACAGGGGAAATAAAGTGAATGGGGAAGATTGAAAGAGGGAGGAAGAGAGAAAGACAGAGACAGATAGAGCTAGAGAGAAAGAGACAGAGAGAGATGGGAGAACTTACTGAGTTAATTCTCTGAGTAGAGAAATTCGCAGGAAGTTGATCTCATCTGTCAGACTGTCTGGGCTTGCAGTTCAGCCTTACTCAGGTAGGCAGCATCTACATCCTGAGGAAAGAGCCAACAACATAGAAACAGGTTAATTTTCTTGCCCAGTCTATTTTCCTCCATCTCCCTGGCAACCCTGCTCTGCAATGGACCAGACATGCAAAGTTATTCCTCTCAATCAGCACAGAAACCCATCCCTGTGACTCAGTCAGCTCACCTTCTTCAGGCTCACAGGGAAAATAAAGACACAACATACTCAAACCTATGGGACACAATGCAAGCAGTGCTAAGAGGAAAGTTCATAGCACTAAGTGCCCAATTAAAGAAAATGGAGAAAGCACACATTGGAGACTTAACAGCACACCTGAAAGCTCTAGAAAAAAAAAAGAAGCAGACTCACCCAGGAAGAGTAGAAGACTGGAAATAGTCAAACTGAGGGCTGAAATCAACAAAATAAAAACACAGAAAACAATCCAAAGAATCAATGAAACAAAAAGCTGGTTCTTGGAGAAAATCAACAAGATTGACAAACCCCTAGCCAAACTAATCAAACGGCAGAGAAAGAACACTCAAATTAATAAGATCAGAAATGAAAAGGGGGACATAACCACAGACACAGAGGAAATTCAGAGAATCATTAGATCTTACTACAAAAGCCTGTATGCCACAAAATTGGAAAATGTGGAAGAAATGGACACTTTTTTAGATAAATACAATTTACCAAAATTAAGTCAAGACCAGGTGAGCAGTTTAAATAGACCTGTAAGTCACGAGGAAATAGAAACTGTCATCAGAAACCTCCCTACCAAAAAAAGCCCTGGCCCAGATGGTTTCAATGCAGAATTCTACCAGAACTTCCAAGAAGAGCTAATAGGTACTCCTTAATGTATTTCACAATATAGAAACAGAAGAGTCATTGCCAAACTCTTTTTATGAAGCTACAGTTACCCCGATACCAAAACTATACAAAGACACAACCAAGAAAGAGAACTACAGGCCAATCTCACTCATGAACATCGACACAAAAATTCTCAATAAAATACTGGCAAACTGAATCCAAGAACACATTAGAAAAATTATCCATTTGATTAAGTAGGCTTCATCCCAGAGATCCAGGGCTGGTTCAACATACGCAAATCTATCAATGTAATCCACCATATAAATAAACTGAAGGAAGAAAAAACATATGATCATTTCATTAGATACTGAAAAAGCATTTGACAAAATTCAACACCCCTTTATGATAAAAGTGTTGGAGAGATTAGGGATACAAGGATCATACCTAAATATAATAAAAGCTATTTACAGCAAGCCGACAGCTATCATCAAATTAAATGGAGAGAAACTCAAAGCCATTCCATTGAAATCAGGAACACGACAAGGCTATCCACTCTCTCCATACCTCTTCAATATAGTGCTTGAAGTTCTAGCAATAGCAATAAGACAACATAAGGGGATCAAGGGGAGTCGAATTGGAAAGGAAGAAGTTAAACTTTCATTATTTGCAGACGATATGATAGTGTACATAAGCGACCCCAAAAACTCTACCAAAGAACTCCTACAGCTGATAAACACCTTTAGTAATGTGGCAGGATACAAGATCAACTCCAAAAAATCAGTTGCCCTCCTATACACAAAGGATAAAGAAGCAGAGAGGGAAATCAGAGAAACATCACCTTTCACAATAGCCACAAATAGCATAAAATATCTTGGGGTAACTCTAATTAAGGAAGTGAAAGACCTATGTGACAAGAACTTTAAGTCTTTGAAGAAAGAAATTGAAGAGGATACCAGAAAATGGAAGGATCTCCCTTGCTCTTGGATTAGGAGGATCAACATAGTAAAAATGGCAATTCTACCAAAAGCAATCTATAGATTTAATGCAATCCCCATCAAAATCCCATCAAAATTCTTCACCAACCTTGAGAGAACAATAATCAAGTTTATATGGAAAAACAAAAAACCCAGGATAGCCAAAACAATCTTATACAATAAAGGAACTTCTGGAGGCATTACCATCCCTGACCTCAAACTCTATTACAGAGCTACAGTATTGAAAACAGCTTGGTATTGGCATAAAAACAGAGAAGTCAACCTATGGAATCGAATAGAAGACCCAGATATTAACCCACAAACCTATGAACACCTGATTTTCGACAGGGGAGCTAAAAGTATACAATGGAAGAAAGAAAGCATCTTTAACAAATGGTGCTGGCACAACTGGATGTCAACCTGTAGAAGAATGAAGGTAGATCCATATCTATCAGCATGCACAAAACTCAAATCCAAATGGATTAAAGACCTCAATTTTAATCAGACCACATTGAACCTGATAGAAGAGAAAGTGGGAAGTAGTCTACAAGACATGGGCACAGGAGACCACTTCCTAAGTAGAACCCCAGTAGCACAGACAATAAGAGAAACAATGAATAAATGGGACCTCCTGAAATTGAGAAGCTTCTGTAAAGCAAAGGACACTGTCATTATTATTTATTTTTAATTTGTTTTTCGAGACAGGGTTTCTCTGTGGCTTTTGGAGCCTGTCCTGGAACTAGCTCTTGTAGACCAGGCTAGCCTCGAACTCACAGAGATCCACCTGCCTCTGCCTTCCAAGTGCTGAGATTAAAGATGTGCGCCACCACCACTTGATAACATTAGTATTATTTTTTAAAAATATTTTTATTGTTTAAATTTGTAAATATATTTAGTGTTTTACATGGATCTTTCTTAAATAGTTTTATAAAATTTGTAATTCTTCCATAATATTTTTTTTCTCCTAGTAACTTAAAAAAAAGCAAAATTGATATATCAGAACAGGACAAAAAAAAAGCAGAAAAAAAGAGACCAAGAAAAAGCACAAGAAACATATATAAACACAGAGAACTACTCATTCACATATTCGGGAATCCCATAAAAACAGTAAACTGGATTGTAGTGGCATTTCACTTGTATTTTCATAGATAAAACTTGCCTGAGTACCAGAGAGTAAAACAGTCTTACAGGCCAGGCAGTAGTAACATACAACTTTGATCCCAGTAGCCACACTAATTGCCATAGAAACCGGGCGGTACATGCCTTTAATCCAAGTGGCGCAGGCCTTTAATTCCAGCCCTAGAGAGAATTATAAACTGGGAGGAAATAGCTCTCAGGCACAGTCTCATTCTGAGGTTTCCTAGAGGCAGGATCACCAGTTTCGGGCCGAGGTAGAGGTAAGAGCCAATGGCTGGCTGCTTTGCTTTTCTAGTCTTCAGGTTGAAGCCCAATATCTGACTCTGAGTGTTTATTAGTTGTGCTACACCTTGTGTCATAACATATACACAAAGGGTAATCTTTCTGCTCCTCTGAAACAGGGTTCCCTGCGCTCTGAAGGGAAGGATTTGATGGAGACATTCCGTTTAGCTCCGAGTGTCCAAGGTCTCTTGCACTCTGCGTGGCTGTGGGTTTTTATATCGCTCCCATCTGCTGCAGGAGAACGCTTCTCTGATGATGGGCGAGCAAGGTACTGGGGTATGCAGAGAGAAGAATGTCATTAGGAGTCATTTCTTGCTATGCTCTTCTAGTAGAGCAGTAGCATTTGGTTTTGTCCTAGGTCCCTGGGCTATGTAGTCACAGGTTATTGGTCACCCAAGTAGTGTTGGGGATGGAGTGGCCTTCAATCAAATCAGTTGGTTGGTTACTCATACAACTTTGCACAAGCACATCCTACAGACCAGACACCATCATAGCTCAAGGGTTTGTAGCAGGGTTGGTGTTTGCATTTCTCCTTTGGGAGCATGCAGAGTTTCTTCCTCCACCAAAGACACTAGCATGCAGGGGTGAAAACCCTGTGTAAGCACCAGCTTCACTTGTCCATGTCCAATGAGCTGTGTAGTTGTTGTCTTCAGCGATGGGCCTTGCGGTCAGTTTGTAAACAGCAGGCTGTAGTCCTGGCAACAGCCTGGGTTGCTTGGGGGTTCCCATGGGACCCCTTTGGCCAACTACTAAATTAAATGTGATCTATGCCCAGTACTGGAATCTTCATTTGCTGACAAGAGATGTCCAGTGGGGGCTCTGTCCTCTCCATCATTGGCTGTTTCATATATGATAGATCAGGAAGCTTCCATTACATTGACTTTCCACACTGCTTCTCAAACGGCCCTTACATTTAGCTGTTTCTCCCCTATTTCTTACCTTGTCTCCCTCTTCACTCTCTCTCAGCACTTGATCCTCCTATTCCAGGCCCCCAGTGTCCATGCAGAGCCGTCTATTCTATCTTATTTTCCCAGAGACAGCTATTTCTCCTCTCAGCCCATTACTCTGTACCTAATTTCTGGGGCTCTATGGGTTGTAACTTGGCTGTCATTGACTTAACAGCTAATATCCACATACAAATGAATGTATACCACATTTGTCTTTCCGGGTCTGATTAGATCCCTCAGGATAATATTTTTAGTTCCATCCATTTAGCTGTGAATTTCCTGATTTTATTGTTTAAAATGAGTGAGTAACCCATTGTGTAAATGGACCACATTTTCTTCTTCCATTCATCTGTCGAAGAACATCTAGTTTGTTTCTAGTTTCTGGCTATTATGAATAGCCCAGCAATGAACAAGATTGAGCAAGCATCTCTGTGTGGTAAGATGAGTGTCCTTTGGGTATATACCCAGGACAAGTATAGCTGGATCTTGAGGAAGAGCTAGTCCCCTTTTCCCAAGGAACCATTGCACTGATTTCCATAGCGGCTGCACAAGTTTGCACTCCCACCAGCAATGGATGAGTGTCCCCTACTCCACGTCATCACCAGCCTGTGATTTCATTTTTGAAATTGCTCTTAGCCATCTTACAGATGTAAGATGAAATCTCAAAGTAGTTTTGATTTGCATTTTCCTGATGACCAAGGATGGTGAACATTTTTTTAAGCATTTCTCAGCCATTTGGGTCTCCTCTTGAGGATTCTCCTTTTAGATCTATACCACATTTTTAAATTACATAATTTGTTTTCTTGACATCTAGTTTCTTGAATTCTTTGTATATCTTGGATATTAGCTCTCCTTCAAATGTATGGTTGGTAAAACAAAATC